AATTTTTGGTCCATGTTCTCACCATGTAACTTTTTAAAATGAATAAAACTATTGTTACTTGGATTGTTTGTTTTTGATTTTATAAATTTCCCTTTATTGTGGTGGTATTAAATGAAATAACTTCATATTTCTATCCCCGGTCTAACTGATTGACTTAAACTTATTGTAATTTATTACTAGGGTGTTAATACTGCTAACGGTATTAGTGTTCGTTACGATTGTAGAATAGACTGCTCCTAATTACTTGTTCGAATAAAAAAGAATGATATGGCTCGATTAAAAAGAGGAATGAAATACTGTAGATAAAGATTGTATTATGTTTCGACCATTGACTCCAACTCGTCAACTGGATATCAAAATGTTCAGGGACGTATATATCCTCTGTTAACACATAAGACATTGATTACCTCAGTAAACGTGTATTATTAGTGCAAACCAGTTAAACAAACGAACAATAAGTATTCTTAATTCATTTATTTAAGCTATCAGTTACACTTCGTAAGTTAACATTTAACCCAAATGACTTCGGTACTTCATGTCAGGCATCTGCCACAGACAATGGATAAATGGTTGTGCAAGATCATAGATCTATTGAAGTCAAACATTTACACTGTTGGGCGCCAACTCAGTTGTTTGGAGGATAAGTGTTAGCACGCGGAACCGAAGGTTCTGGGTTGGAGTCCCTCGTGTGGGGTCGTGGGCGCGTAATGCTGAGGAGATCTATACAAGGGAGAAATAGCTGTCCAGTTCTTCGTGGTTTTCATCTTTAGATTTGTAAGAGGAAATTAATTGGTTTTCTTGACATAATATAAGGACTTATCTACATAAATCCTATATGACATTTGAGATTAGTGAAATTTTTTTAGTAAATCAACAGTCATGAACTCAATGACTATTCAGGATATGACATCTGTCTGCTTGTACATTCCGGTACCTCTTTCAGATCACTGACCATGGAATTATTTCTTTGTTAAGTGATATTAATGTGTTCGAAGCCCCTAGGAACGCATCAGAAACAGTAAAACTGTCAAAAACAGTAAATCTGAGCAAAGTTCAATGAAAATTTAGCAGATAATATAAAAAACGATGGTTTATGTGTCATAACTCGATTGGTTAATTACGGATTTTACTATTAATCTAAGCATAGTTGCAAAAGCATCTAGGATATTAACGTCACAAATAAAACGATAAATATTCAGATTTTCTGTATCTTGAGCAAAGGTGTGCAGTGAAAGACAGATGGAAATGTTAGTGGTAATAGACACTAATAAATAACTTTTCAGACATACAAAAGAAATAAATATTCAAAATTTAGGAGTTGGTGATGTTATTTCAGTGAAGGATGGGCTGATAATTTACTCTCAGTCCGACACATTGAAATGATGGGCGCAGTACTTTGAAAAACAGTTTAATTGGTCTCTAGTTACGTACTGTTATCGAACAACCTAAGTTGGATTGTTATTTAAGCTGTTCAACTCTGAAATTCCGAAAGCCATGGTTAATCTAAAGAACAGTAAGGCAGCTAACCCTGATGTCTTAACTCGAGGTGTTTAAGAATGATAGTCTAATTTTAGTAGTTGTCTTGATTGAGATGTTAGACGGAATCTGGAAGCTAGACTTTATCGAATTTGAATGGTCCCAGTTGTTGTCAGTTCCGGTTTATGAGGAGAGACAAAAATCCTCTTGTGACAACCGAAGAGGAATCGGCTTGACTAACATAATGTCGAGAATGTTAGCTTTAATAATGAGCAAAGCATAACTAGGGCTATTAAAGAGTGAAACAGGGAAAACCAGATACTCACACTTTTCCAGATTCCGAAACATAGACACGCCTACTGATGGTCAACCATAGTTTTGGTTGTTTTCGACTCCGTAGATCGACAGGTTTTAAGGCGGTGTTTATCACTGAAGGGCTTACCAAAGAACTACATCAATTCTGTATAAGCTCTCTACTGGAATATTGTTGATCGAATCAGAACATATTGTAAACTATCATCAGAGTTTATGACATCAAATGATGTTCGTTAGGGCTGTCCGCCTTCTCTAATCTCATTTACTACGTCATAGATATACTTTTAGAGATAACGTTCCCGTCAACTTTTCAGGAATTGACCTTCTAACATGAAATTAGCTTGTCGACACATGGATCCCTTCACGTATCTTGGAAGTCTCGCCAGCCTTGGTGAGTTAGTATTTAACCAAATATCGGCACAGGTTCAGAAAAAACGGGATGGCATTTACTAAATTGCATCACATGCAACTATAAAACGTAACCTATATGTTCGTACTTTACTAGTATTTCACCATAGATGTCTTTGAAGTATTGCTTACATATGTTTGGGCCATTGAATGAGCAATACTGAGTTTGGATACAAGGTACTAGGCTGAAATGATAAATTGGTTGATGAAGTCGTGAATGTTCATCGACTGAAGTTGTTGGGTTATGAGTCGCATATGCCTAAACATAGTCTACCTCTATGGTCCATGTTGACTAGTATATATATATAACAAATGCTTCGTAAGAAAAACCTACAAAGTATGAATCGAAATTAACTCTCCGAAGTGATTTCAATGAATAAGTTAGATAATAGTCAGTCAGCTACAACGTAGGACCAGGCACATTTATGCATCGGTCCAAGTTGCCATACCTCAATAACACAACAAAATGGACACAATATCCATAAAAGTAGTTAATTCAGAGGTGGTAATATATAAAAGAAAGATTGCAATAAGGATTTAGTACAGGAAGAAAGAATTAGTTCGTGGAAATAAAGATATGAAGCGATTCTAATCTCTTAGTTTAAGCGAAGACAGAGAGTGTATACACCTACACCATTGTGGTCGATTCTGAGCCATGTCACCAAGAGTTTCCAACCATTGGTTACGATAGTCACGCAGACCCCAACCAAGTAGTTTGCATCTACCAACATGGCTCAGACTAGAAGTTAGTGACTTCAAGTACTGATGCCACGTTTTGGTTTGGCCGCCCCTAACTTTCATCCAACCATCCCGAACACCGGTTAGCATTCCACTTCGTGGTAATCGGTGTTCAGGCATACGTAACACGTGGCCCAACCATCTCAGTCGATGAATATTCACAACCTCATCAACTGATTTACCGTCATTCCCAAATACCCTGCATCTAACCTCACTACTACTATTAGTTACCCGGTGATCCCAGCAGACGCCAGCAATATTTCTAAGTTAGATAATAATTACTTTATTATCTATAAAGAAGTAATTCACAATGTCTTATGAATTAGAATTCATTGGATATATATATATCTTCAAATACTTCAAATGATGAGATCACACTCTTATATGTAATATTCATCTACTGAATAATCTACTGAATAACGTAACACTACTAAATTATTGAAAATATTCAATATAACCTCATTATTGTTTTTTATTCATTCAAAACTATACAACCATTTCCTTTATTATATATAATTTTAATTAATTTTAATTTATAAAGTTAATTAATTAATTAAAGTGCTTAGTTTCTAGAAATGAAAACAATTCAACTAATTGTATTAATCATTATTACATTTAATGATATGTATCTATATAGATTGTTAATTATTTAATGACTATTCAGTTCACACAATTGTAATTACTAACAATAGTACTATTACTTGTAATAATAATAATAATAATAATAACAATAATAATAATAATATTAAGAAAGACATTATTTATCAAATCGACAAAGATATATATATATATATATATATATATATGTATATATTTAAAATAGTTATTGTTGTCAAGGCCGACGGCATGACATGAATGTATTCATGAAAGAATTAAAATTAAAACAAACAAAACAATATAGTGAGTTCATGAATATCCAACATCAATACATATTATCACTAATCAAAACTAAATCAATATAAAAGTAAAAGTAAATTGTAAAGAATAGATATAACATACAATACTTTATAACCTGATTAGTTAATTCATTGATAAATCAATATTATAATGAATCAATAATCAATATTATCAAATTTTTTTTATTTTTCCTTTTTTTATTAATGTCACGATCAATAATGTTGTTTGTTATATTGGTTATTTATAATCATTTTGTACAATTATCACAGTTGTGCCGGTGTTGTATTATATTATTATATTGAATAAGAGAAAAATAAAAACAAAACAAACAATGAATTATATAACACAAACTATACTACTAAAACTACTGATAATAATCATAGTAATAATAATGATTATTACAGAATAATAAAAAGTAATTGAGAAAAGAACACAATAAATGTTAACAACATGAATTCAAATAAAATTCATGAAGAAAGCGATGAAAAGTGTTAATTTGTTTTTGGAAAACAAAAATGGTTGTAATAAAAATAGTAAAACAAATAAATGAAGAGAATTTTCTGAAATGTTTTTTAATTATATAAAACTACATATGATCAACAGTTACTATATGGATTGACGTATATTTGAACACAATTACTTATTATTTTTTTACAGATCAATGTATGTATGTATGTGTGTATGTATGTATGTATATGTTTGTAAATGTATTCTTCAATCCGTCTGTTATATTCTTTAAATTCCCTAGAACTAACGGAAACATGGATCATTCATGAGATACAATAAATAGTACAACAAATAAATATGAGTACATTCATGTAGTAAAATACATACACAGATATAATTTATCATATTACTACTAATCAACTAATCAATAAAGATTGAGAAAAAAAGATAGTGCGGAATTGATTAAGTGGGTAGTTGGTTAGTAAAATTTTGGGGTGTATCATTTTTTATTACCATTACTATTATTAGAATAGACTTAGTAACTATTTATAACTATTTATAAATAATATAGAATTAAAAAAAGACTGTAGCATTAAGAAAACAAAAAAGAACTTCTTGTCTATAATAAGCAATAGTTACTAGTATTTTCTTTTTTTTAATGTCTCATTTTTTTCTTCTAAGAAACAAGAAAGAGAAAGAAAGAAAAAGTATATTATACATTAAACTGGTGCAATTAAAGAAGGATTCATTGGAAATGTTTTACGTAAACCTAAACATTTTTCACGATCAATATATATACTATTAGCTTTAATAGATAAATCCATTTCTAAACGACTTTTATTATTTAATAAATCTTGATGTGCTGTTTGTATATCTGTTAATTGACTGACAAGTCGATCAATTGATTCTTGTAATTCTGCTATTTCACGTAATAATCTATTGGGGTGAGAAAAAAAAAGAGAAAAAAAAATAAAAACAAAATAAAAAGGAGATAAAGTAAAGTAAAATATATTAAAAAGTATATTTCTATTTATGGTTCTAAATAAACTCGTGAATGCGCACCATTGAAGAGTCGCACAATAGGACGAAACAGAAGTTCAGTGCTTTCAGGTATTCAATGGTGATCGAACATCAATCGGTTCATCATCTCAATCAAAAAGATAATAATTAGTGTTGGAATAAAATGAGAATTTGGAAATTTTTGAGATTATTATGTGATATATTAGGATTTCTAGTTTTACTAATGTAGTTATCAGGCAATTAAGTTCTAGTATTTTTAGATTGCCTCATTTATAAGCTTTCATTTAGTATATTTATTATTGACATTACGTTACACTATTTTTAAATTATTTGCAATTAATTACTCGCCTATTATTTATGGGTTGTTTGTGAACAAACTATGATTTCTTATTTGTGGTGTAGTGATTAACGTAAGTAAGCCTTTTGATTGGCTACTGTGGTATAGGCAAAGTGTCTTCTGGACCAATTGAAGTAATGATATTCCTTGACAGTTAAACTAAGTCATCAGTTAAGTTCAGGAGTCTAATAGACATGGAGCGTAAATATCATCGGTTGACTTTAAAGTCAAGCTGCCCAATCATGCGAATTTTTGAGAATAAACGGAATTATTAATTTTCTCAAAAATTAAAGTATCTAGACTGTGACTAGAAGTAAAAACTATGATAAGTTATTTGTTCTACTTGTGACTCATCAGCTTGGTGGACCTACATTTCAGTGTTGATACACACCCTGAGTTTTAAACATAACTCTTACTGTTTCGAATGACAACCCATAATTTGCTGAACTAATGAGCCTATACAACTTATAACTTGTTCAAAGGTCATTAAAATGCTACCCAGTATCCCAACTTAACAAAAATTTTGAAGGTTTTAGTTGCATCTTCCCCAGGATTTCTAATGAAACTTCCGAAAGCTTCTTCAAGAATTAAGAAACTTTCCCCAAAGTTCGGAGATTGGATACTAGCTGTTTGCAATTTCCTATGGTTGAAATTGAGAATTGTAAACAAACAGTCTATTTTGGTGAATTGTGAATTGTCTTAATATAGCCTTTGTAAAAAGTTTTAATGTATACATAAAACTCTCGCTATGGTTTCTATTGCTCGTTACGATCCATGTATAGTATCTATATCGCAAAAATACGCTTAACCATAAACTAACAAAGACTGTTCAGTTACAGTCATGAATTTCACCAACGAGAAATCACAAACTACTACTAGGTATTTCGAATATTTAACATATAGTTACTATCAGTGAGGGGTTGTGAAGGTTGTTAAAATTTTGATTGAGATCATGAATCGATAAATGTTATACCACCATTGAAGACCTGGAAGCACTGGACGGCTTTTTATCCTAGTATGGGACCCCTCAACAGTGGATGCCGACCCAGTGGTCTAGATGTTAAGCGTTCGCGCGCGCGACCGAAAGTCCTGGGTTCGGACCCCGCGTGCGGAATTGTGGGTGTGCACTACTAAGGAGTCCCATATAGTTACTCATCATTTTGTAAATGAATGTACATTACAATCATTAGTGACTATATAGTGCAATAATATAGCTTAGTTTGGTATTTCTAACTCATTTCTATACCATGATATTCAATATTTAGCACCTCTTGTTTAATTCTATATAGGCAACACTTACTAGATCGTGCTAATACACTTGTATGAAAGAAGACATCTAAAATTCATATCCTATGGACAACATAATATTATTCTGTCCTCAAATGCGATTTTTGATAACTGATGTTTTGTAAATTTATTTATTAGTTTAGTATAAACAGTTTCATGGAATGAATTTTATGTTTACAGAACTAAGTATCAATGAAATTCTTTAATACATACATGAACGAGGATACAAGTAATTAGTAATGTACATGATATACACAAACATCTGGAACTCAAAACAACTGTCAACCAACACCAAGGTCAGAATTTTCAATACAAATGTCAAGACAGTCCTACTATATGGGGCGGAAACCTAGAGGACTACGAAAGCTATCATGCAGAAGATACGAGTGTTTATTAACAGTTGTTTGCGCAAAATACTTCGGATCCGTTGGTCAGACACTATTAGCAACAACCCACTGTCGGAGAGAACAAACTATATCCCAGTAGGGGAAGAAATCAGGAAGAAGCGCTGGAAGTGAATAGGACACACATTGAGGGAAGCACTCAACTGAGTCACAAGGCGAGCCCTTACATGGGATCCTCAAGGCCAAAGGAAAAGAGGAAGACCAGAGAACACATTACGCCGGGAAATGGAGATAGACATGAGAAAAATGAACAAGAATTGGATGGAAATATAAAAGAAGGCACAGGACAGAGTGGGTTGGAGAATGCTGGTTGGCGGTCTATGCTCCATTTGGAGTAACAGGCGTAAGTAAGTAAATAAGTGATATACACATTCATTGAATACAATTATTATACTATTCTTAAGTTAATTAGTAAACAAAAAAAGAATATTGAAATGAATAAATAAAATTAGTTAAGTGAACAATAAACATATTGGTATGAATTGATTGGAATGTTTATTAATGAGATGTATACGTATACAATAATTGTATTTATACTATGATGATTGAATTACCTGCATATTCTTCAATGTGTGAAATCTTTCTATTTATAATTTTGAGTTCAAGCTTAATTGATTTCTCATCCTTACCTAGTACTCTATTTCTAATCTAGGCGTTACTTTCTGAGTGGATTTAAAATAAATGAGCGATATTTCAAAGGCACTTACGATCGAATATTTGTAGACTATCCTAATGCCCATGTTTCTCATCCGTAAATTTCAGTGGCGAGAACTGATGCACATTAAACTCTTGCTTTGGTTGACACACGGATCAGATACGACATTGAGTCATATTTTGTATTATTGTCATTGATAAGTTTAAATAACTATTTAACTGGAAACTTTTTGACATACATTTGCTGCTGTGTTTTTCGAATTAATATATCAGGAAATTTCTTATTCCTAGTGGAGTAGAAGAGTCAATTAGTCATCTAAATGTAAGACCAGGCACATATATGCATCGGCTCAAGTCGCTAGTAGTGTAATGAATTATTCATAAATTGACGTTGAGATAAGAAACTTGATCGTTAATAATACATTTTATGATATCAGTGAACGTCCAGTCGATGTTCATCACTATTTTCCTAACGGAAATTATATACACTGAGTTTAATGAGCGTTGTATGGAATTCCTATCTTCAAATTAAAAGAATCAGTGTTTTTGGTGAATAGGAAATGTATATTTTTGGTTCAGTTTTCCGTTTTACAGATAGTTGGATTAAGTAAAAATAAAATACATAATAATAGTTACACGTGAGTCATACGTGACTAATGAATGGAAGGACAAGGTTGTGTTGACACACATCACAGTTTCTATGTGACTTACAACTGTCTTACTCAGAAGTACTCACACCACTCAAAATGGAAATATGAACCATTGTACTCTGATTTATTTGTTCAGGAGTATTGTACTTTTAAGTATGATAATTGGCGTGGTGTCAAGTGAGCACTGCGTATTAGTCTTAGGGTCGCACTACGATGACTTACAGTGTTCTCTGATTTTTCAGGAGTTCTTCATCTTATATCAGCCTCATGCTGAGCAAAATCCCAAAAAATTGTTTTATTTAAAAAGAGAATTGGAGAATATTAAAAGTAACCAAAGAAGAATAAGTTTGATAAAGGAGAGAACTACAAGTTGTTTAATTGGCTAGTTTAAATAGAATGTACAAAGTAGACCACCGGAACTTATAACCGAATAATCACTGAACAGTGACCAAACACAGATTTAATTCCCATAAAAGGCATCGATTCTGTCGAGATTGTATGTATGCCTTACTGATGAGTGACAAGTAGCCCGAAACCTAGGTTTAGTGTTTCCTGTTGACTACCGTCAACCATTTAATACCATTTTAATTATTTAACCTTTTTATTGCCTAAACGTCTTTACACTGTAAATAGAAAGCTAACTCTATATCAGTACGTAAAACAACTGAAATCACTTTTGATATGATAATATTAATCGTGATCTATTGATTATTTTACTCAGTAATATTATAGACATTGTGAATATGAATAAACCTCATTATTAATCTTGACTAGAATAACTTCCACATTAAAGATCCGAAATGAGACGAAATATATATTTAATAAGTTTCTATAGTTGAGATCATGAGTCGATTGAAGCTAAACCACCATGGAAAACCTGGAAGCACTGGACGGTTATTTCGTCCAATTGTGGGACTCCTCAGCAGTGCAGATCCACGACCCCGTCTCACGGGATTCGAACACACAGCCTATCTAGCTTCAGTTGACTTATGATCTCAACTATAGAAATTACTACAATCTCCACAAAACCCCTTCTGATAATATTCAATAAGCTAAAAACAACAACATACTCATAAAGTTGAGTAATCGTTATTTATGGTAATTTTACTTGTGAGATGTAACTGCAAAAAATTTTAGTATCATGTCAACAACACCATAAGAATAAAAATAAAGGATTACCAACAGCATTAAGTAATATTTCTTATGTAAGTCGAAAAGAATGATACCGTTGGAAAAGGTGAACAAATACGAATTTGTGAAATTATAAGTATGCTCAATTAATGATGTTTCACAACTGAAACAAGCAACCTGTTCATTGTTATGTGCATTTCAATAGATTTTCAACGCTATATTAATTAATTGATGATTAAAGATAACTTTAAATCCAATGACTTTTTACAAAGTACTTAATTGAAGTGATATGCTATTTTTAAATGAAACACTCCAACACAGTATCCAAGTCTAATCATGCATTGTTTATCAACTGAAATCATTAATTATAATAAAGTTATGATCACTAAGCTGAACTGTCTAGTTATAAGTTGTTTATTGTTATTTTGAACGATATCATAAACAGGTATTAGG